TCCCATATTTTAATTCTTTAGTTGGGCGAAGCTTAGGATGCCAATAGGTTTTTTGTGGCTCAGTGGTAAGATGCTGAGCTTGTTGATCAGAAAGAACGGCAGTTCGAATCCCTAGTGCCGTGTAACAGAGTGAGCTCCCGTTACTTGTCCCAGCTTCTGCCAACCTAGCAGTTCGAAAGCATGTAAAAATGCAAATAGAAAAAATAGGGACCACCTTTGGTGGGAAGGTAACAGCATTCTGTGCGCCTTCGGTGTTTAGTCATGCCAGACACATGACTATGGAGAATGTCTTCAGACGACGCTGGCTCTTTAGCTTTAAAACAGATGAGCACTGCCCCATAGAACCGGGAATGACTAGCGTGTATGTGTGAGGCGAACCTTTACCTTTATATATAATATTTACCTTTTAAAGATATAGCGAATCTTAAATTGGGCTCCTGATTCCACCTTTTCAGGGTGGGCTTTGGAATGTCTGCCAAAGACCAGCATGGTGTTCAAAAACTAAAATAAAAAATAAATAATTTCATGCCTCTGACTGAAGTATGGGTGAAGTTCCATAGTGAAGAACACTACCATATATTTGCTGTCTCGCAGATTGTCGCGGTACCAGCAGTTCAAGGATTTCCAGCGTCGTATCTTGGTAGCCACCAATCTCTTTGGCCGTGGCATGGATATCGAGCGAGTCAACATCGCTTTCAACTACGATATGCCAGAGGATTCGGACACTTATTTGCACCGGGTAAGCTGAGCTGTCTAATAAGCAACCCCCTAAATTTCCTAGGTTTGGGTGCCCAAATTGAGGGCGGGCACGAAAGTCCAAGGTGTAGTTGCAATGATGAGTTGCTCAGACTAGAGTCTCTGACTTGTTTTCTGATGTCTCTTTTCAAGCTCCTGAGTAAGTGCCCTTGGTTGAAAGCACTTTGTTTTTTTAGTCATGTACTGACCTTTGGCTGGGTTTGAATCCTACTTGAGGCTCCTGTGGGAAAAAAATTCACTCCCGTCCTCTCATTTCTGGATTCTAGGTGGCTCGTGCTGGCCGCTTTGGCACAAAGGGCCTGGCAATCACTTTTGTGTCCGATGAGAACGATGCTAAGATCCTAAATGAAGTGCAGGATCGCTTTGAAGTGAACATCAGCGAACTGCCTGACGAAATCGATATCTCCTCCTACAGTGAGTCTGTTTTACCGATTTCTCCTCCACTGACGATCACAACAACAAAAGTTTGTGTTAACTAAGTGAGTTTTACCTATCTAAGCGGCTTTTGCCCCATGTTACAACCTTTCTTGCCTTAGTTGTTAAGTGAATCACTGCAGTTGATAAGTTGGTAACCCGGTTGTTAAGGGAATATGGCTTCCCCGTTGACTTTAATTGTCAGAAGGTCACAAAAGGTAATCCATAGGACCCTGGAATACAGCAACGGTCATAAATATGAACCATTTGCCAAATGTTTGAATTTGAGGTCGTGTGAAAAACAGTCATAAGTCACTTTTTTCAATGCTGTTGTAACTCTGAACAGTCACTAAATGAACTGTTGTAAGTCGGGGATTACCGGTACTATGCTTTAGCCCAGCCCACCGCATCCTCACAAATAGGTATGCCAGAAAGATGATGTGGGGTGAAACTGATTGCTGATGGCATAATAGTATTGCTCGCTAAACATTTTGCAGAGTAAAGCTTTATACTTTCTAGATGAAAATAAAAAGTTGATGTTAATACATACAATGTAAACATCCCCACTTCGTCTGTATAGAAGAGCCACTTTCAGTATACAGACAGTCCTTGACTTATGACCAAAATGGAATCCAAAATTTGTGTTGCTAAGTGAATTCTGCCTCATTTTACAACCTTATCACAGTTGAATGAATCATGGCAGTTATTAAGATGGTGGCTGAGTGAATCTGGCTTCCCCGTTTTCTTTATTGGTCAGAAGGTCTCAGAAGCTGATCAGATACCTTGAGACCCGGCAACCATCTTAAATATGAGTCAGTTGTCAAGCGTCTTAATTTTGATTACATGACCATGGGGATGCTTCAACGGTCACAAGTTAGAAAAAAATGATCATTAGTGACTTTTTTCAGTACTTTTGTAACTTTGAATGATCACCAAACAAAATTGTATATCGAGGTCTACCTGTAGTCTCCTCAGACCTTGGTTTAAATTGTAAGGCTTACTTACATTCTAGTGATTTAATATAGTAGATTAAAGAAGACACCCTTTTTGCGCATTGGTTCTTCCTTAGCTGATTTTTGTTCATTTCCATCTTTATATTTTATCATTTGAATGTTTTATATCAGGGGTGTCAAACTCAATTTCATTGAGGGCCGCATCAGGATTGTGTTTGATCTCAGGGGGCGGGGTGGGCGTGGCCAGCTCAATGTCACCTGTGTTGGCGGTGCCTGTGGCGGCCTGAGCACTCTGCCAGCGAAAACGGAAGCTTGGGAGGGCCTTGTGCAGCCCTCCCGAGCTCAATTTTAGGTTCCAGGAGGCCGTTGCAACCGAAAACGGAGCTGCCTTCCTGAGCTCCGTTTTCGCTGGCAGAGGCATCGCGGGGCTTGTCCTTCACTGTTTTCACAGCAGCCCTGCAGTCCGGATCTAACCATCCCGCTGGCTGGATCCGGCCAACAGGCCTTGAGTTTGACACCCCTGTTTTATATTATGCCTCCTGGGGTTGCTTGATAGATGGGTGGCATATAAATTTAATAAATAAAGAAATGAAATAAAACCAAATTATTATTTCTGAGGAATATAGTTCTTTTTATGGTTTTTATCCACTTTTATTAGCTGGGGGAGCAATGGCATTGGGTTTTGAGTGAATATAAAATAAGTTGAGATGTAGCTTAAGGGAAGACATTGCAAAACGAGTGAACCATAGAAAAGGGATTTTCTGCTCTTCATTGAAAGCTTGATTTGTTTCGCTATAATGACGGGCCGTTTTCATTTTAGTCAGGAGGCATTCACTTGCCCTGTCCTTACTTGACACCTTCTCTTTTTTTTCAGTTGAACAGACCCGATAAAAGGGGGGGGCTCGCCTCTCCATGTTGACCTTGGTTTTAATTCCTGACCTCTGCCACTTTCCTAAAACTTCACATTTAATTTCACCTGATGGAGAAAGAAGTGACTTGACTGTCTGGAATACAAACCCACCCCAGTCCTGTGGCAGGGACAGAAGAGCTTCTGTCACTTAGCTACGTGTAGTAGTGGAAAAAAGGCCGATCACAGCAAACCTCCATTGCTCATTGAGGTTGGAAGCCTCATTGCTCGACCGGCACCCAAGATGAAAGCAGCACCTTCCTGTCGATGCTTTTAACACAAAAAGAGACTTGACTTTCAGTTGGATGTTCACTGCCTGCCTACCAGCAAGGTTTTTTTGGGTGGGGGATTCCACATGTTGCATTGCTCCTCTCTGTTCTCCAGTCAGCATGTCATCTTCCCCACTGCTCTGACAGGAAGCACAAAAGAAAAGGGGGAGGGAGCTGAGATGGGAGGGTTGCTCTTGTGAATTTGTGGCATTCAAAAATTGTGTTTTGTTTTAAATGGTGTGTCTTCCTCGAACGGGAGAAACTTAAGAAAACAAGCTTCCTTTTATAACGCGCTCTCATGCCATTTTAAAATCCGCTTTTAATTTTTTTCCCCCCTCCCCTGTGTATTCCTCATGGCTTTGAACTTTGTCTGCATGTTAACATTACTTCCATCCCTGCTGGTATCTTCTGGCGGGAAACTAGTAGTGAAAGTTAGTCATGTTTTAGCTGTGGCTTGTTCTCTCTTTCTCTCTCTCCCTCCCTTTGAGACCCTCTTATTATTATTTTTGGTAATAAAGGAGCCCAGCTCTTAAGGGTGACTGATTAAACTAGTCTTGTGAATAAACATTTTGCTGGTGTTTCATTTTTTAGGATTATGGCTCCATTGTACCTAACATAACTGTCTTTTTTTTTTACTGTAAGCACACTGGCCCACCTTAAAAATGAAATTCTGTTGCGTGCTCTCAAGAGAGTACAGATCTACTGTCATACATAACAGAGATACACGTGCTATATACATAAATAAAATATACCTGCACACACGCATATATATATATATATACATACATTAGTACATTTGTGTGTGAGAGAATCAGAGAGAATCACTTCTCTTT